CAATCACTACCCAATACTAAAGACGTGAAAGCAACTCTCACTGTTATACATGATTTTTGACGTACTTACACCCTTGAAACAAATTAGGAGAGAGGCAATGGCGACCTGATCCTACTGATACTCAGTATACCACCAGACCAAGGGAGTATTGTACAATAAGCCTAACACTAGGCAACCTTGGGAAAAGTACTGTCATGCTAAAAGGAGACCTTACAACTACAACCCTATGCTAGGGCCTTCAAAACAATACCATACTATCGCCATTACATTTAAAACGTCGAAAAACCCCTAGGGACCAAATTTAGGCTCAATTGGACCTATCAGGAACATTTTGGGCCCAAATTACCCCAAACAGGTAGGTCATACACTATTGCGGTGTGGCCTCACCGAACCAGTCCCCATTCATAGAGGCTGCGTTCTCCACATCTCGAGATCGTGTTACAAAAATGCCTACAGATCATTCGATTGAAATCAGAACAAGCTCAAATTCTGACACAAGCTAGGTCTCAACGGTCCGATCTTTTTAACATATGGCATGCATCGTGATGTGACCCAAAGCCAAAGCTTTTTTAGAAAGAAGATGAGCTCGAAATCATGGAAATCAAGGTTTTTGAAGAAAAGACATCTCAGACTTCGTGAAGTATAACGTAAGATCTGTGCATTGGATCATTACAAAAACAGGTCCTATGAGACCATATCACGAAGGGCTACAAGCTGGTATAATTTTTACACTCAATCTATGGTCGAATAAATCACAGATTCCAATTGAAGAAAGTAAGATCGATCGGTCACCGGAATCCTTTTTTCTGGTGATCTCTTGAAATCGAAAAAGTACTTCAAGCAAGAACCAAAACGGACAAAAATTAGTGACGTCTCCTCATTAATTTGTAATCAAAATAAAGACTTGAGACACCACGGATCGCACTACACCAAAGGCCAAAGTTTATAATCTAGCCAGATTTCTACATCTCGGGAAAAAGTCCATCTCAAGGAGATCAAAAGACATCAAACTCTTCAAAATCAATAAAACATCAAGATTACAATGATGGATCGTCTGAATCATCGTCTCAATCGTCTACAAAAGCTTCCAAGATCTGGCACTGGTGAGAGGCCCCTCAAAGAGGGATGGTCTTGTCATTAGCACAAAAGGTTTAAGGGCTATTTTGGTCACTGTTCTTTAATTCGAGATTTTATTATAATTTTTTTTAATTGTAATTAGGCTTAGTTTTGAGCATTCACCCCTGTTTTGTAGATCCTCTATAAATACAAACTTAGGTCAATTGTAAAAAGGCCGGATCATTCATCAACGAAATAAAGGCATTAAGCTTGTTTTCACTTGCCATTTGCTTCTAACCCTTGATCCCACACCGAGAAGAGAGAAAACTTTTTAGAGAGAGAAACTACCCATGGCCCATCCTAATCACACGGCCCCGTTCTCTCTCTCTTCTTTTCTTCTTCTCTCTGTCTCTTCACTCTTGCTTGCCCCGCGCAGTGACCCGTGCCCGTGGCCAACTCACAGTCACGTCTCATTATCCCTTGCGTCTCGAGCGTAAACGCAGTAAACCTACAGTTGCCCGTAGCATCCCACTAACTAACATATGCTTGAATTCAATATCTTTCAAGGTCAACCTAAGAGTTCCAACCCTTGGACCATTGATCTATCTTCCTCTCCGTACAGTCGAGTTGAGTCGTGCGAGATGCATACGCTCTCTCCCTCAGTCACTCAAGAGGAGTCATCCTGAGCCGATAGTCAAGTGGGTTTTAACCCTTCGGTCGTCCCTATTGCCCGAGCGCACAAAATCTGTGCGGATAGGGAGATTCTCGCCACCCTCTTTCCCTTATCCTTTCTTTTGGCCAGCCAGCCCTCATTCGAGTGAGTCATCATAGAGGAGTACAATTGAATCCATATTGCAGTTTTCAACACGAGAAAGTGAAGCGATGTGTCAAAATCCTAAGGAGAGTTCGTGTTCAAATCGCGTTAGCAGATAGCTGAAGGACTTCGTAGCTATTCTAAGAGGGCAAAACTGACCGGGCATGTCCCTGAACCCCAAACGACTAGGTAAGTGCCTAAACGCACCCACGTTGTAAAAACTCTCTTTTGTTGGTTCATATCCGGGCTTAGAAGAGCAAGCGTGCGCATACCCTTTGACGTGCAGCGCGCACGGACCCTCTGTGATTGTTTGAGAGTGCATCTTTTCAACCTGACTCGTAGGAAGACCGCACGAACAAGTTTGAGGATATGGTGCGCACGATGATGGAAAACATTGATCATATAGACGCCGCACATCAATCAGCTAATCATAAGGTCAATTCCCATCACTCTGGTGGTGCACCTCTAAGGCAGCCCCTTCCTTTTGCCTCACATGATAATTCTGTCCTACACCCCGTCTCACAGGCAGACATCGATGCTACGGTGACCCATAGCTTAAAGAACAGGCAAATTCCAGGGATACAGGGCGCAATGCCTTATCAAAGGCCATACCCTTCATATATTGACCAGGTGCCCCCAAGACCCACGTTTATCTCAACCATTATGCCTTCTGATGAAAAGAAGGAATACACTGAGTTTCTGAAGGCCAAACGAGATGTATTTTCCTGGAATTACGAAGAAATTTCGGGTCTCGATCCGCGCATAACAGTCTACAAATTAGGAATTGATTCATCCTTCAAACCCGTCAAGCAAAAGTCAAGGCGATTCAGAGCAAATTTAGAAATCCAGAGCAAAGTAGCAGTGAACAAGCTTAAAATGAAAGGTTTTATCTGAGAGATCAAATATCCAAAATGGCTGGCTAATGTTGTACCAGTCAAGAAGAAAAATGGACAAATCAGGATTTGTATTGACTTCGGCAATTTAAATTCGACTTGTCCCAAAGATGATTTCCCACTCCCCTTCACAGAGTTGCTGATTGACTCAACCCCCAATTGCCATGCATTCTCTTTAATTGACAACTATTCTGACTATATAACCAAATAAGTATGGCTCTAGAAGACGAAGATTCCACTGCTTTCCTAACTTCAAAAGGTGGGTCTTTGTTTACACGGTGATACCCTTCGATCTCAAAAATGCCGGAGCCACCTATCAAAGGGCTATGACCACTGTCTTTGAAGACATGCTCCACGAGGAAGTGGAATGCTACATGGATGACCTCGTGGTCAAGTTTGATAGAAGAACCGATCACATAAAAATCTGGGAGAAGTCTTTGAGAGACTTCACCTCCATCAGCTCAAAATGAACCCCTTAAAATGCGTCGTCGGCGTATGATCTGAAAATTTCTTGGGATTCATTGTCAGGTATAGAGATTTGAGAATCAAACCTATACAGATTAAAACCTTTTAAGAAATGCCACTGCCAAGAAACCTACGAGAGATCAGATCGACATACAGAGGTTCATCTCTAACCTGTCAGGATGATGTCAGCCCTTTTCCCATCTCTTAAAGAAGAACACGCTCTTCGAATGGGATGAGGCGTGACAAAAAGCCTTTGATGATATTAAAAGTTATCTGCTAAAACCCTCGGTTCTTTCTGTACCAATTCCGGGGAGGCCCCTCATTCTATATGTAGATGCGCTGGATGAGTCACTTGAAGCTCTGCTAGCCCAAAACAGTGACGAGGAGAAAGAAACGGCTTTATACTACTGGAGTCGGAGAATGCAAGGAGCTGGGGGGAATTACTCGCCAATAGAAAAGATGTGCTTAGCCCTCATCTTCACGGTATAGAAACTACGACACTACTTGCTTGCACACCCCGTTCAGCTCATTTCCTGAGCAGATCCTATAAAATTCCTCTTATCGCACCCTGCCCATCAAGCTGACTTGCAAAATGGTCACTACTTCTCATGGAGTTTGACATCACATAAGGCCAAGCCCTCGTAGACTTCCTAGCTGTGCAACCTCTACCATTTAGTACACCCTTGATCGATGATTTTCCAGATGAAGAGGTCTTCCACACCGAAGTCTCGTGCAGATGGAAGATGCATTTTGACAGAGCATTTCAATCCGAGAAAGATGGTGTGGGAGTGGTGTTCTCTACCTCCCGCGACGGCCTCATTCCTTTGTTTTTCTCTCTCCCAGGGATAGAGTCACATATTGAAGCCAAATATCAAGCACTCATCATAGGCTTGGAGATTACCACCCACATGGACTTAAAGTATCTAGACGTCTGCGAGGACTCAAAGTTGGTGATTATACAACTCAAAGGGGTATATGATGTACGGAAAAAAAATATCAAACCTTCCTTCAATGTTGCTAAATCATTAATGGCCGAATTCAAGTGGGTTACTCTTGAGCACGTGCCAGAAGGCTCAATGCACAAGCTAACGCACTCGCCAAATTAAGGGCAACTGTCGAAATGTCGCTAAAAGGGGCCCCATCAATATGGGTAGCAAAATGGAGATGCGTCAAGTTTGTTAAAAAACCCAAAGAAGAAGATGAGGAGAAATTATCCGAACAAATCCCTCCTCACCCACTTGAGGTAGACATGGATGATGAGGGCACAAGCCTCTTGTCGTTCACCAAAGTCCCCCATGATTGAAGAGGAAGAAGAAAATGAAGAAGAGTCAAGACTGCCAGAGCACACATGCACGGAAGAAGAGCCAATAACTGCTTGGCGGGCCTCCATCAAAGATTATCAACAGCATAATCGTCCTCTTGAAGATCCTGTTGAGCGAAATAGGATCCGAAGGTTAGCCACACGATATGTGTGTCGTGATAGTACCTTTTTCCGAATTTCCTACAATGACATGCTGCTCAGGTGTATCGATCAGGAAGAAGCAAATCGCATGCTCAAAGAAGTCCATTCTGGAGTTTGCGGAATGCATCAGTCTAGTCCCAAGTTGTATAACAGGATCATCAAGATTGGCTACTATTAGCCTACTATGAATGTTGACTCTCTGATGTTTGCAAAAGGCTGTCAAGGATGTCAATTTCATTCAAGTTTCTTTCACCAAGCTCCTTAACCTCTTTACCCAACGATGGCGTCTTGGCCCTTTGCTTAGTGGGGCATGGACATTATAGGACCCATTGATCCACCTACTTCCTCGAGGCATGTATTCATACTCTCCGCCACAGATTACTTCTCCAAATGGGCTAAGATAGTCCCTCTCATAAAAGTCCCTGGGCTCGCAGTGGCCAACTTCCTGCGCCACCATATCATATACAAATTTGACGTCCTTGACCGGATCATTTCTGATAATGGCCCCCAATTTCGAAGTAATCAAATTGACAGACTAGTTGATCAGTTTGGGTTTACATGGAAATACTCGACCATGTACCATCCGAGAGCTAATGGTCTGGTCGAAGCTTTTATTAAAACCCTTTGCGATGCCCTAAGGAAATCCATCTCCAATACTAAAAGAGATCGGCATGAAAAGCTCTTTGAAATTCTATGGGCATACCGCATTACAGCCCGAGGCCCGACCCCCTACTCTCTGGTACATGGGGATGAAGATGTGTTGCCTCTAGAAATTCAATTGCCTTCCCTTTTGATAACCCTCCACTATAGAATGACAGATGAAGAACGGGCTGCCCTTCGCTATCAAGAACTACATACGCTTGACGAAAAAAGATTGCAAGCACAACAGTCTTGAGATTCACAAGAATCGTATGCAGTGAGCCTTCGAAAAATCGGTCAAAATAAGATCATTTGTGAAAAGAGAACTGGTCCTAGCAGTAAGAAGACTTATTGTCACTCATGGCCAAACTAAGGGGAAATTCGAGCCAAAATGGGAAGGCCCGTTTGTGATAAAAAGGGCCTTTCCCAATGGAGCCTACGTACTAGTCAATTCTGAAAGGGGAAGAAGCTATGCCCCTAATCAATGGTAGATATTTGAAAAATTATTATCCTTATGCTAGGGTCCAAGCTACATGACCGCTAAATTGTTAGCACATGTCCTGGCTGTATGACGCTAACCTACGTTGCACACGGTCTTGAAGGCATGACCTTAAAATTGCCTCCTCAAGAAAAAAAAAAAAAAAAAAGGAAGAGTGATGGAAAGAAACAATCTCTTTCCATGGCAAAGAGAGAGGTTACAAGAGCCTATAGCCCTAAAAAGATGCAAAAGGAAGCAGAAGTATTCTTCCCAAAGCTGAGCTAAGCCTCAGAAAAAATCTTTTCAGATCTTGGGAAGGATGAGAAGTTATCGATTGTTACAGCCTTCGGCAAAATAGCTGACGCCGGGGTCTAACGATTGATAAGTCGTCTTATTTCAGCCATACGATCTTCAAGGTCTCTCAAAGCTACAAGGTTGTCCAAGTACTACTGATGACACTCATTCAGCTCGGCCCACTTCTCACTATATTCAAGAAATAAAGCATCTATGACCGACATTAAGGTCATTAGTTTAGAGACACAAGGTGAGAGTTCCACTGAAATACTTCGCCATTTACACGAGCATAATTGGCTTCCAAGGCCTTTAGTTGCACAGATCTTTCCTCATCAGGAAATTGCACGACGTCTTCTTGCTCTTGTGACATGAATGAAAAAAAAATGGGGATAAAGAGTTAGCTCCAAGAAAAAAGCACGACAAAAAAGAAGAAAAGAAGACCAAGTCGAGGACCCTACCGTGAATAGGGGCCGAACTGGTGCTCTCCATTGGTGTTGATGAACAACACGAGGGTAACAGATTCTACTCGAGACTGCAGTGAAAAAGGATCATGGAGAAAAGATTAGGGTTTTTACTTCAGAAAAAAATCTCTGGTAAAAACGAAAACTACCCATGCGCGCCTTTTTTATAGCTAAATAGGGTTAGCATATTGCGCAAGCCAATGAAAAGACACGTGGCCCAGTCTTGAGGAAGTAACATAGGCATGCGAATGAAGCATCGCACGTTTTCTATTCCACGGAAGCACAGGCGGCATGCGAGCAAAACGTCGTACCACTTCACCACGTGGAAGCAAAGCCGACACAAAAAGTGAAAAGCCACACCTCCTGACGCAAGAAAAACACAAAAACTGTGCGGACCCATTCTCTAGCGCAAAACCACGCCATCCTACCAGCCGACGCACACACCCTTGTCTTCCCAACAATATGCGCACCTTCGACAAAAGACCGCTTATCTTTGGTACGCCCCTACCCAAAAGGCCCACACAAACCTCTGGGCTTAGCACACTCTCGTACACTACTACACCAAACAAACAAGCGAACTATGTTCCTTGTGCTATTTGCACACACGAGACCCATAGCGGTCATGTGTTCAAAAACAATATCAGCGTTCTTGCGAAACCATAAATGGCGCACACCTTAAGGGTTTGGATGAAACCCAAGAGGGCATCCAAACCAGACAGACAGCAGCCCTTCGGGGCAAAACAGGTCTCTCAGCCCATTTAAGAACTCAGCGTAGAAAAGAAAAAAAAGGTGAACAAACCACGGAAAGAGAAAAGACACAAGCCACAAAGAAGAAGGATTCAAGATAAAGAAAGATTTATTTCATGAACAAAAAGGATTACAAAAGTTATGGTTACAATATCGTGTAGCTATAAAGAGATAGATCCGTTCTGAAATGAATCTCCCATCTAGAGATACAACCCTCCAAATCCGCCGCCGCCTTCTAAAGTGGTAGTGTCTTCCAAGACAAAGGGTCATTCTTTTCTAAAAAAGGGAGCACCAAAAGAATGAAAATAACGTCTTGCTCCTTTTCACCCCCGAGTGAAGGCAAAGAACTAGGAGGTAGTTACGAAGGTAGCAAAGAGCGAAAATCCTCTTCTCGACATAACGACGATTCACCCAAGTGCTGAACATCCAAGCTGACCAGATCATTCATCTGGTCAACCATCACGAAGAAGATGATGGGTAAGCGAAGACCATCACAATCTGTCATCATGCTTGGATGGATGAGATTGGGTACGTTAGAGGATCCTCAGCATCTTATGCACAACCTCGGACCATGCTCTTGGAATCTCAAGCAAACAATAGGGATTTGAAGGCACAAGCCTGCTATCCAGCCCAAGTCCATCAACACTCGCGGAGTCGAACATCTTCACCCAGGACGGTGACAATCAGACGCACTCCAAGACCTGAGGCCCAAACGCCGGCATCATCAAAAGGCATGCCTCCTAGACAAACGACGCAAGAAAAGAGAGATCTCTTCTCCCCCTTTTTCCAAAGAAAAACAGAATAAGGAAGGTTCTAGAAGGGAAGGAGTTGCTTTCCCCCTCTCTCAGCCTAGCCTTTTTATAAAATTGCAGGCCCGTCATAAAAGCACTCTGCTTCCTCAGAAGCGTTTCGTCTGACCAAATGGATGCGTGTCACTATGGCAAAAGCCTTGACTGACTCCCAGTCAAAGTCTTCTGTCGTTTCGCCTCCCAGGCATCATTTTCAATGGATCACGTCAAATCTTTTTCTGCCTCAACCTCCGAAGCGTCACTTTTGACGGATTACGAGAAAGTCTTCTACCTTCCTAGCGATGATTTCCTAATAACACATGGGACCATCATCAAGATGACCCACCTTCCCAGGTAATATCTTGCCTCCTCGTGAATGCACTTCGGCTCATCAGTCCCATTTCGACAATCAATGGCTCATGGAAAAAAGTGCTCCACGCACCCAAGCATGATGCGACTATGTCACACTCCTTCCTACTTGACGGTAGCTCATCAACGATATTTATTACCCCATAGAGCCCTATCCAGGCATGACCCCTCCAAGAGGAGTCCCTCCAAAAAACGAAAAAAAAAATAAAAGAGAAAAACATAAAAAAAAAGAAATAGGCATGGTGAAAACCCACTTAGGCACTATGAGTAAAAATGGTAAGCGGACATGGCCATGAAGCCATGAGTAAAACTATCCTGAAAACAAGAAAACATGACATGGTGAAATCCCGCAAGGGTGCCATGAGTAAACGTGGAAATTAAAGCGGCGGGCGTGACCTTCAAGTCATGAGTAAAAACGCCTCAAAAGAAGAGAGTTGGTGAAAACCACCTTTTGTGGCACCACTCTTACCCAGTTTAGGTGAAAACCCAAAAAAAGCGCTTGGACTAAATGAACAGGTTGACAGGCCTCCCTAAACAAGGACAATTTCAGCCATCTACAAAGAAGAAAATAAAAAATTCCAGCCCCAGACCCAATCAAAAAATTCCGGCCCTAACACCAACTAAAAAATTCCGGCCCTAGCGCCAATCAAAAATCCCAGCACTAGAGTAAAAAATCAAAATCCCTGGCCCCAGCGCCAATCAAAATCAAAATTTCGGCCCCAACACCACTCAAACATTATGGCCCCAGTGTCAAAACAAGAAAAACAACTCCTTGCCCTAGGGTCAAAAATCAAAATCCAAGGCCTTAGAGCCAAAAATCAAAATCCCCAGCCCCATAGCCAAAAATCAAAATTCTTGACCTACAGCCAAAAATCCCCCACCAACTAGATTGGGGCAAAGCCCACCAAGGGAACCCACTAGCCGGTCCAATAAGGAGGCAACGTTGGCAAGGAATGGTAAGCCCTTCACAAGGCAGCCTATCAGAGCCCTGTCTTAGAAAAAAAAAGGATTCCAATGGCATTGGGAAGGAAGCCCTTAAGCAAGGCCCCCAATCGCTAGAGTCCACTTTGGTCGCCCCTCTTCAGAAGGAAGCTGAACATGATCTCCCCCTCAAGGATTGTGCAGACGCCGGTGATCTTGAAGAAAAAAGTATATTTTTTGAGAGGCAATAAACACGTCTTAGTAAGGATTCAAAAACAAAGATGAACTTCGATGACAAAATCTCATTCCGAATGTTGCACTTCTCGCTTCTATCAAAGCGCAACAGTCGTCGGGGCAAGTTGTTGTGCATCATTTTTGACGTACTTACATCCTTGGAGATAATAAGGAGAGAGCTAGTGACGACCTGATCCAATTGGTACTCAAGACACCACCAGACTAAAGAAACACTGTACAATAAACCTAACACTAGAAAACCTTGGGAAACGTACTATCATGCCAAAAGGATGCCTTATAACTACAACCCTAAGCCAGGGGCTTCAAAACATCCAGACCACCGCCATTGCATCCAGAACGCCAAAAAACCCCTAGAGACCAAAGTTAGGCTCAATCAGATCTACCAAAAACATTTTGGGCCCAAATTACCCCAAACAAGTAGGTCGTACACTATTACAGTGTGGCCTCACCAAACCAGTCCCCATTCATGGAGGCTGCATTCTCCACATCTCGAAATCGTGTTGCAAAAACACTTACAGATTGCTCGATTGAAATAGGAACAAGCTCAAATTCTGACACAAGCTAGGTCTCGACAACCTGGTCATTTTGACATATGGCACGCATTGTGATGTGACCCATAGCCAAAGATTTCTAAAAAGAATATGAACTCGAAATCATAGAAATCAGAGTTTTTGAAGAAAAGACATCTCGGACTTCGTGAAGCATAACTAGAGATCTGTGCATTGGATCATCACAAAAACAGGTCCAATGAGATCGTATCACGAAGGGCTACAAGCTGGTATAACTTTTACAATCAATATACGGTCGAATAAATCACAGATTTCAAGGTTGAAGAAAGCAAAATCGTCTGGTCGTCGAGATCCTTTTTCAGTGATCTCTTGAAATCGGAAGAGTACTTCAAGCAAGAACCAAAATGGACAAAAATTAGTGCAAAACAATCGCG